TTGGCTTGAGAAAAGCCTCGCCTTGGTCATCCTCCCGTGACCGAGGGTTCTTCTTCACGTCAGTCTCTACTACTTACAGCACAAGGAGCGTTCTTTTTTTATTCCAAGCACATCATACAAAAAAAGAGCTTTTGACTTGTCTTTCTTCCCCCAGTTCATTCACAGCTGAAGGTAAAAAGTAAGCTAATAAATAATCCTTGTTACAGCTGGATTTCCAGCTTTCAAAGACTTTTGCATCTGAAGCGATACATGGTGGAAGCTCAGTGGAAGACCGATACCCTACAGACTCAACCGTTTGTTCTCCCAGACGCCGTGGTTTGCAAGAGTTGCGAAAGTTGCTTTGGTGCCTCTCCACATCTGCAGGTGAAGGAGGCTTGAATCGCAGTGTCCAGACTCCTTCTCCAGGCAGCAGAGGTGGTGTTCTGACCAACACAAAAACCAGAGCGGCCAGCTCACGCTGCTGTTCTTGTATGGGCACGCAGCACTGCCTAGGCAGGTAGCATACTCCAGAGCATTGCTCCTTAGCAGAAGAGACAACCATCACTGGAAGGGGGAGTCAGTCTCCTGACAGCGTCCTCAAAGAGCTCCTTTCGTTCCACTTTTGTCTTGTCCAAGTTTGCTTGAACCGTGAAGTTTTCTTAATCAAGTGATACTTCACGAGCCCTTATGGGCACCAGATGTGCTTTAACGAGACCTGTGGACTGGATGGCAAAAGGGAGGAGGGGACCTAAGCCACCAAAACCAGCACAAAATTCATCACAAAGGGTGTCCTTTGCATCCACCTGCCCCTAGAGAATATTCCTCTCCTAAGGAACAACAATCTCTTTACTGTTCATTTGGGCCTCCACAACCTTAGTCTTCCCCCAGGGCTCCAAAGTCATCCTTGTATCAGGGATAACCATCAAAACCGACCATTCTTCACGCAGTCCCCACTCCCTCGCCAACTCACACACTTCCGCTGCCTTTCTACAGCTCCCCGCTGGCCCTCACTGCTACTGGGACCTCGCCGACCGCGAGCTGCTGCTTTCATAGCACCACCAGAGCAAAACTCAAAACCATGTCATAAATACCAGCTGGACCTCCCAGTATCTCCATGCCAGAGTAAGACTGTCAGTCCCACACTGCTAGTGAAGAAACCAGAAAAACTCTGTAATTAAGCATCTTGAAGGCCAACCACAAATTGCAAACAGGGATCAAATTCCAGCCTTCCATCTCCTATTTATCCTGACACTCCGACATCCTAAGCACCAGGGACAAGTGCCGTACTACCAATTCATTCTGACACCACGTACAAAAAAAGCAAGATAAATTAGGGGAGTCAATTATGCGCTACCAGAACACATTCCGTCTGGCAACTGGTTAACAGCCAGAGTGAACAAACCTCAATAATCCAGACAATGAAATGTATTAATTACAGTTACAGTAGTAATACAATTAAGAATAATTCAAGTTATTTAAAAGCTTTTAGATTGTCTTTTAGGTACTCCACAACAGCCCATCGCACCAGCTTATACAAGCATACTGGACACGATCTAAAAGTGTAATAAAAATCCTTCAATTTATTGTTCACTTAATAGAGGATGATGAAAGAAGCATTTAGTTTTTCATTTTTAGCTTTGAAAACAACTTGCCGTTCCTTAGAAATTCAATCCAACTGGCTGAAGCACAGAAAGTATTATTTCTTTAAGCCAGTCACATTACACCTTTTCATTAATGTTGCAGTAAGCCACAACAGAACCAGTACCCAACAGACAAAACCAGAGCACGCACACGACACTGTCTGCCAGGAGTAATGAAGTGCAGGTACTAGGAAGGAATATTCTTGCAAGAAAATAATCTGGCTTTAATCATAACCTCTGCAGAGATGCTGTATCTGCTTTGATGCTGTAGTTATCTTGCAGCAGCAATTATCTTCGTACTACTTTGGGATTTTTCCTCTGTTGAGAACACCTCCGTACACCAGCACAAGAACCTCTCTCACATTACCACTTGGAGTATTTCCTTACACTCCTGATGGCTTAGCATATTCCACGTCCGAACAGCCTTGCAGTCCCAGAATCCCTCCTGAACCAGCACCTCAGGCCACTCAGTACCGATCCTCAGCAGAGCCCTATTAAATGGCTATTACTCCCACTGTGCAAATGAACTATGGCTCTGATTTTCAGGTGCTAACTACAGGTCCCACCAAAAACAGCTGTGCTTTCGACCTGCCATTTCCCTCCCCTCCGTACATGAATAAAAATGCCTTACTTTAGGTGCCTGAAACAAACAATTTTGGTTACATTTTTTTAAATAACTGGTAGTGTCCATTCCACAACTGAAACTGAAGCTGCTTGAGTGACTGAAGACCCAGCACACGCTAAAGGCAAGGTCTTCTCAGCCACAAGAACTCGCTGGAGCGTTGTATCCAATTACGACTTGCTCTATTCTTGCTCATTCAAAAACCATGAGAGGAATATTAACTAAATTGCATGGTAATCACTTTAGAAGACATTATTTGAAAATTGTGGGTAATAATGTAATTTGCCCAGGCTCTTGAAAGATCTCAGGTGTTTAACAAACATGAAAAACTTACCTCCCAACTAGTGTGGCAAGACCTCTTTGCCCAGTTTTCCTTTATCCTCCGACACGTGGACTTCTAGTAGTCCCTTAGGCCACCAGCATAAACAGAAGAACTGCTACAAACCAAGCCCAGCCAAACAGCTAAGGGAACTCCAGACAATCTGATCCACATTGTTTGCATCCCTGTACTCCACACCACTTCCAAATCATGCCCCCCAGCAGCAGCCGTCTTGGTGAAGACGTAGGCACAGTAAGACCACTTTGGTCCCAGCAAACAGGAATCAACAGGTAAATTCTCTACGCAGCAGAGGAGCAGTACCGACAAGCACCAAGTTCTGTCATAAGAAGTATTTGCAATACCATACAAGAAGAGTTCTAAAAAAAATGTGTTTTTTTTTTAAAAATAGGTTAGTCCTTCCGCATTGTTGTGGACACAAACATGTATCAGAATGCACCAGCCCACTTAACAGGTTGCTAGACTAATCGAAATTAAATGTCTGAGGGTCTCAAGGAACTAAATCACTTAAGTTCTTTGAGACAGTTTCTTGATTTTTATCTAAGGAAACATCTCTCATAAAAGACCATTTTATCAGTTTTTGATTGCAGTCACCATCTTACATAGCCACCATTCAGCACTGGTAGAAGATTCAGAAATACGAGGCGCAAACTCAGGTGAACAGCAGAGAGATGCGAGAAATGGAGTGGAGAAGTTCAGGTGAATCCTGCACATACGCTGATGACAGATGAAGTACCACTCTACTAATTCAGGAAATTAAGACATTGTTTTTGAAAGCATGCTGTTCAGTACCTGTCACTTGACTTCTATTGCCTCAGGAAAGAAAAAGTAGCAGGCAAGATACAACAGGGAGTTTTGAGCTTCACGGCCTTAAGCTGGTCTGAAAAAAAAACTGTATTAGAGGAGACCTCACCCTTTCTTCAGCAACTAAAGCAAGTCCAAACATCTTTTTTGGCCAAACAAGATAAAGTCAGCTTTCTCCTGGGAGAAGTCTTGGCATGACATCAAGTTGAAAGAATTTTATACACTGTTATCAGCAGTCTAGCCAGGTTAAAAGCCAGAGATTCTAAAGCCAAAGAGCAATGTATTCCACATCCAACCTATGAAAGGGGTTGAAATACATTCCCACCATGACCACCCGTTTATTTTTTTTCCCCAAGTAAGTTTTTTTCCAGACCTTTCTGAGTTTGGATATGAAAACATTTGCTCACAAGAGGGAATTCCAACTTTGCGATATACCACAGAAGTGTACAAGATACACACCAGAACAAAACATAATCTGCTTAGCAGTAGAATTTCCTGCAATTAAAACCACAGCACACAGTAGCTTACACTCTTCAGCCACATAGTCAAAAGCAACGGCAACAACAGATGCTATTTTTTTCTTATCTCCATTAGAGGTAATTAATGTAATACCAAATGTGTTAAAATCACGACAGAAGTCAAACAGATCATCTTCCATCAGCTAAACGCACAGACCCATCACTTTAACTTTGTGGCACAGAACTTCTAGGTCCAGCAGGCACAGGTCTAGCATATAATAACCACTTCTTGAATTAACTATTACAAAAACTACCCACCAAAAAGTTAGCTCTGCTAACAAGTCACTACCTCAAAGAGCAGTAACTTACTGCAAACACTACAAAGTATTAGGACATTCCTAGGACATCAGCGAACACTTTGGAGCTGCTGAGTAGGCAGGTATATAATCCTTCATGAATGCCCATGGATTTCACCACAACCTCTAAACTTCCCCATGAGAAAATTCCAGAACAGCCTTCTGGAAAAGACTCATGACAAACATCACTGTCACTACCTCCCCTTCAGTACTTCGAGCCTCTTCCCCTTTACCACAATGGTACAGCAGAGCTTGGAATCTACACCGCCATAGCTAAATACACCCCAAAACAGAACTCAGGTTTTTATTTTTGCTTTACATTTCCAAGTATCTCCCATTTGATACCACGGTAAACTGAATGGTTACCAAAATAGTTTGCTCTTTTTAACTTAATGGTTACATCAACAAGCATTCAAACACAGAGTTTGGAATAAGCTACTGTGACAACAACATTGATGTTTCTGTTGAAGACTGACAAAAAGAGCTCAACCCAAAGGCATTGGTAAGTAGTCCAGTACTTCGCAGTTCGCCTAATCAAGCATTTTTGGCTTAGCAGAAGGTACACCAAAACAAACAAACAATCAAAAGAAGACAAAACTGACTTCTATTTCCAGTTCAACTACTGACTGACTGAGAGGTCTGATGGAAGCCTTTCACTTCCAACAGTCCTCTGACTGTAAAAGGAGGATTACACTCACTCACTGCACAGAAAGCTGAGAACGGAGAAGCATACAGAGCTGCAGAGAAAGAAATACAAGTGCTGAGTACTATTACTCCACAGAAAAAAAAAAAAAAGAAAACTGGTTATTTTAAACAAGAAGTTTATTTAAACAACAAGACGCTTTACTTGAAGGGAAAACTATCTAGAATTTTTTTTTTTTTTTTTAGAGTAATTTACCCCTACTTAGACAGAGATTGCTCTACATGTAACAGCTACGTACAAAAAAGTTATAAAATTGTCCTTGGTTTTACAATGATAAAAGAAAAACATTGAAATTATCCAATCAAACAAGGTATGTAAGGTTTTTGAACAGTGAGAGCAAAATAACTTACTGGAATATAAAGATAAAAGTAGAAGGAGCATGCCACTAACGGAGAAAGGGGCATTTTCACAGAAACAGTTTGTTTTCCCAGCCCACCTCCATTAAATGTTGATCAAAACATACCATTGGCCATTTAGTTAAAAAAAATATGCATTATGTCTGTGCACATACACCAGTTACTTTATGTACAATAGAAGGAATAAGAAAAAAATCAGAGAGAGAAGAGAGAAAACTATACTGCAGTAGTCAGGATGTGGCTGAACCAAGTCTCATTTTTCTAATTGTGAATGTGTCGCCTGTGGGAGCACAGTTCTGGAGAAGAAAGTAGCAGGTTCTTTTTTTGTGTGGTTGGGTTTTTTTTTTTAGTAAACTCCTCCTGTTTGCTGCTGGAACACATCAATTGTATCTTCATCCTCCATTTCCAACTACAGCAGAAAAAAGAAAAAAGGCTTTCAACTCTTCTCAGATCTCTACTACAGGCTGGGTTGTTCTGACATCTCCTATCTTCGTTCATTTTTATGCAACTTAACCAGACCAGCCCCACTCCCCACCACCACTCTGCACATTTAATCTACTTCACCGTAACTCAAAAGCAAAGAAAATACATGGAAAAAAAAAAGTGCCAGTTGGTAATTGTTGTCCTAGAATGAATTCTAGTATGTAACGTCAGGGTGCATTGTATGATTCCTGTGGAAAAGACTGACATTGGTAATATTTAACTCTGTTGCCTACTTTGCCATTGCATCTTCTTTCTCCTATTTACTTCCTCAGTTTACCTTAGAACACTGCCACAATTCCACTTTGCTGCTGCTGTTCAAACGTGCAAATGGCTTCAGCTACAGCACTAAAGAAAGCAGACTACAATTAAGGCCCCTAGCCCAACCAGGCAAAAATCGAGCATCGGCAAGCACAAAAAAAAAATTATGAACACCTTACATTGTCAACGATGTAACAAACTGCCAGTGAGGAACAGCAATACTCCATTAACATAATTTTCTTTTTTCACAGTAACTTTTACAGTTGATATTCCTGGGATGTTAGTGTTACCTATTGAAAAAATCTGTACCAAGACTGAAGGAGCTGCTATAACTAATGTAAGTTATATTTCTAAACAGTGTCCATTTCTGCTCCAGGAAATCAAACTGGTCTATGGCATTTACCGCAGCTATAAATAGACTGGTCCTTAGCTTCAGCGTAACATGGATGGAGAGCACAGCACCCCGTTGACTCAGTTATCAGTATTCTAAGTTAAAAAGTTCCATAGATCATGGCTGTAAGAGGCACATTCTTTGGACAACTGCTTAGAAAATACAGATCTACTATAAACCTTCTAAAAACAGGAATCCCTTATTTCCTAAGAAGTGGTTCTGAAAAGCATATAAAACTGTATCACTTGGAAAGGCTCATCAAACACAGCTATGTGGAGCAGTACAGAAAAATACTCCAGTCACAGTAACCCATTCTGTTCTTGGATCTGCCTTCATTTTAACCAATTACTAACAGACAACCCAAACGTCACAGTATTCAATAATTTTATAAAGCTGAAATAGAGCTTCAAATTACAACAGAAAATGACTTTCATATTACAAATGCAAGTTTGTGAACAGGATCTCTGATAACATCCTGGCCATTTTCTACAAAAAGATAAAGCAAATCCTTCAGGAAAAACTCAATTCTTAACTTACCGATTCTTATCTCAGAGGCGTGAGTCAATAAAGTAACAGTTTTACAAGATTCACCCTCTCTACACTGCACTTAATTTTCTTATTTTACTACTACAGTGATATAGACTTATTATTCAAAACACTTAAGAAGTCTTGCATTTCATTTCCAATAATTCCAAACTAGTTATACCAAAATAACAGTAAAAAAAGATCACTTTCTACCACTATTATATACAATTACACAAGTATTTTATATGAAACACCTCGATCAATGCCTGCAGCAAATTTCAAATACAGTTCTTTTGTCTTGCTTCTGTTGTTTACCTGTGCAGGTGTGTCTGTTTCATTAATTGGCTGCCCATCGAACCGGAATCTGATTTGCCTCATTGACAACCCCTGGACAGAGAGAAGTAACACAAAGGGAAGTAAGTCTGGTGTAAAAGTACTCACTAGTTTTCTCTTGAACTTGTCACTGGAACTGCAGCATGATTATTAACAGCCACCGTTCATAGTGCCCGATGTAGTTTTCATACTCCCCTCGTGCACTGACTTCCAGGCATTTCACTACAAATCGCTGCAATCTGTTTTGTATTAAAAATTGCATTGTGTCCAGTAACTAAGAGAAGCAACAGTGCCTCCACTGACAGTAAGTTAAAATAAAACCATTTCTAGTACACAAGTCTCACCCCAAAGGCCAGGATTTTTACACTGCTTTTTAATAAAAGTTCCCTTAAAAATTAGATGCAACACTTTGGGTAACAAACGTCAAACAGCAATATTCAACACTCCTTTCTGATCTCCCCCAAAAGCAAAGTTTTTCTGAAATATTTTTTCCAGAAATGCAACTACCATCTGTTAGTCTGCAGCAGCAACTTACTGACCTTGAATTCCTATTAACAAGAAACCAATGGATCTAAGTTTTTCCCTGCACAGCTGGAACTGTCAAAAAAAAAAAACAACAAAAAAAACCTACTTCCAGAAACTACTGAAAAAGTATTTCAAACTAGCAATTTCTACCACACAATAGTCATTTTGCTGACCTCTTCCATCCCCCAGAAGACTACTTCTCATTCTCACTCAAGCCAACAGATTGAAAGAGATAACCAAGAACTACAGTCCCTTCTTCTAATAGCATAAGCTTCAAATTCACAACTTAGTTTTCAAAAAATATCCTACAGCACACTACATTCTGCAAAGGAAGATGAATGAAGTTTGAGGATACCAGAACCAAGAACCTCAGTGTCTTACTTCTTTCCCAGTTCTATCTACTCTCTCTACGAAGTATCTGAAAATACAAGAAGTCTAGTTGGTTTTGAAGTAAATCCAATAGATTGCATGGTGCTGCTTTGGAACTTCTGAATTAGAAAAGAAGCCTTCATTTAGCCATGCAAGAGTAGATATAACACACAAAAGAAAACATAGCCACTATTTTTGAAAAGTTGGTTTGTCAGGAAAACCACCTTAATAAAAAATACGAGCAAACTTTTTGGTAATAATTTACAGTTCACAGCAAAATGCCTTCTCTAGTGTGACTAAGATTCTGCAGTGCTCACTCAGAACATCATTCTGTTTAAGAAAACCATGTGGCTAAGTGTCATGGCAGCAACACCTTTTTTCACAGTAACACCCGGTTTGAGCCTTTTTCTCAGACATGGCGTTTCTTAAAATATAGTATTTCCTGTTCCACAAGTTTTGGGTTTTTGCAGGTTCTTGACAACTTTCTGAGCTGAATAAATGATAGCTGAAAACATACTGAAAAACTGTACCTTGGCAAGATTAGTATCCACGAAAAATAAAGTATGTTCCATGGACGATTTCTTCCCCCACTTACAATAATCACAGATAAGTCTTCATCTTTTAAACATATCATTCAAGGTTTAGTTACTGCCATTTAGGTCTACTACATGCAATACATGATTTTCATTCTTTAAAGCTGCTAAATTCTCCACCGTATGCAACTTCCACGCCTCCAAAATTAAATCTAAAGTCTACAGTTTAAGCATTTTAAGATTGGGTATGCCTAGTTAGGAACACGAACAAAATAAGAGATATGCAGAAGAAATGCTTTTAAACAAAGTTTGAGAAGCAAGCACGTAAGAAATCAAATTTAAAGACAACTCCATTTCCACAGAAATACCCTTTGGATACCTACTAGCTTAAAACTGAAATCCTAAAAAATGTCTCCCATTCTAAGGAATTTTTTTTTTTTCCTCTCCAACTGACACCTGGGATTTTTTTACCAGTTTTCATTTTTTTAAAGCAAATTAGAAATTTAGGTGAAAAGTTTTAGAATCTTGCTTTTGTTTGTATCCAAGTACCTAAAGTATGAACAGTACTCCTAAAATCATCTTTCCCAGGACTTTACAAACCATTAACCAATCCTCAAACTCCCCAAAAGACAGCTGTAACTCCACTTTATGTTTGCAAAATGCAGTACACAGTGACTTACATAAAATGAGTTTTGCCTAATAGGTATGGGAAAACTGAGCCCACAGCCTCAAATATTCACTATTTTATCCCCAGAACACCCATACAAGAACATATCCACATGTTCAATAAGAGCTGATTTTCCTTGTCTTTATTCATATGCCTGTTCTACTCTGACAATGGGTAAACTTAAGAGATTTTACCACTCTGGACATGAATTAGAGTTTGTTTTTTCTTGGCAGTGAAATAGTTACCTCAATATTTTATACTGATTTTATTGTATTTAATAGTATCACTGCATATTTGTGTTTAAAAAAAAAAAAAAACTTTCCCCGATTCCAAACACCTTCCTAGTGATGGAACTTTTTAAAGGCAGACACTCATTAAAAAACCATGGACATCAGAGACAAAAGTTTCCTAATCAAAAGCTTCAGAAGAAAGTATTAAATAGCACTACTCTTGTACAGGTGTTTTAGAACTTGCAATAGCTGTCTGCAGTTGCCACTAGGATAGCAAAATAAATTTTTTGTCCCTCAGAGGATTAATTTGAATACTAGGCCACAAGAGAAAAAACAAATCTCATCATTAAATGTACAAGTTCCTTCTCAAGCTACACACTAGACACCTTTAGACCCTGAAACACTCATTGATATTATCTCATCTTAATACAGTAATACTAAGCTAATAAATCAGAAGTCTATGACCAGACCAGTATGTTACCTGGAGTTATAAAAACACCTTTAATTATCACTCAACTCTCTATCCTAAGTTCACACCACAGGTTCCTAACCCACCCTTTTCCATACGGGTATTTTTGAGCAGTAGAGTAACAGTTGCCTCCCAACAGCCTACACCTATAATGCAGATTTCAGAGATAACAACAGATCTTTATTTTACCCGTTTCCTGTCACAATCCTGTCAGTCCACTCTATAACAGATCCTAAGAAAAATATACTTTCCACAACACAATTAGTTTCTGCTAAGTCTTTATCATTTTGCATATTTACATAGTTTTAAGACTTTACTGTCTTCATCTATCTGTACGGAGATCATCTCTCCCCCAGACACCAGTTCTCCTGATGATCACACAAGAACCATACCTGTCGTTCACAATAGGCTTTCATTAGTTTACTAAGTGGTGTATGCCTCTTAATCTTAAACTGCACCACAGACCCATCTTGCCCTGCCACCTTCAGATTAATGTGGTCATTGTTTTCAGTCTTCACTCCTTCCTGTTGAGGAAATAAAAGAAAAAAAAAATACAATACTTTTTTAAAAGGTATGAAACAAGAAGTGAAAATTCTACCAAAGTGCAACAGGTCATTAAAAGGAGGAAATAAAGATATTATAGCTGTTTACCGATGCAACACTTCGAATTAGGAAATAAAGGTCAATACTTGTAACTTGAAAAAAAAAAAAAAGTCACACACACAAAAAACCTAAACCCTACTAACATTCGTTGTTATTCTTGACATTGGTTAACATGCAAAGCAACAGTGAAGACTTACTAGGCCAGCTGTTTTATAACAGATTTTTTTTTTTAAAAAGTTCTTTCTACCAAGGGCACAACAGTATGCAACACTACAGTTCCCAATCAAAGGAATAAAGTTATTTATAACTACAATCTCAAGCACTAGCAAGTCTCTTTCTCAGTATATCTCAAACTTTTCCCTGTCAGTTGAGCTACTTCTGAAAACTTCCAAGGTACTTTGAAGGAGCGTATTTAAAAAAATGAGACAGAACCAAGCTTTCTCCTTCGGAAAACGTTTAAGAAAAAACCCTCCTCAAGCAGCAGCCCGATCTCCTCGCCTCCATTAGAAGCCCCACGCAGAAACTGCAGAGACCCAACTTCCAACTCCGCTGCTCCGAGTATCCCGGGAGAGGCAGAGCGAAGACCCAGCGCTACCCAGTCCCCGCCCGCGCCCGCTCCCGGGGTGCCCG